TCCTACCTACTAACCTCATCCCGCCCCCTTGACCTGTCCGTCCTCCCTGGACTGACCTATCTCCTCCCTATCTCCCCACCTACACTCACCTTTACTGGCTCCATCCCCGCCTCTTCGACCTGTTTGTTTCCTCTCCACCTATCCTCTCCTCTATCCATCTTCTATCCGCCTCCCACTCTCTCCCTATTTATTTCAGAACCCCCTTCCCCTCCCCCATTTCTGATGAAGGGTCTAGGCCCGAAACATCAGCCTCTCTGCTCCTATGATACTGCTTGGCCTGCTGTGTTCATCCAGCTCTGCACCTTGTTGTCTCTAATGATCAGATTCTCCAGCATCTGCAGTTCCCACTACCTCTTATCTGATCATTACCTTGTTGCTGTAATAAAAACAGAAAATGCTGGAAATATCCAGCAGATTTGACAATTTCTGCAGAAAGAAACACAGGCATAATTTACCAGGTCAATGACCTCGTAACAGAACTATTTGTACTATCTCATCACTGTTATTGGGAAATCTATATTTGCAAATGGGCTGCTTTATTTCCTACACTGGAACAATGGCTTTATTTCAAACGCACTTCAACTTGCAGCAAAACATTTTGCAATGTCCTCTGGTCAGGAAAGGTGGTATATTTCCTTTCCATCTGGGAGTCCTGCCATAACGGGTAGAGGCATTTGACTGTAATCCCTTGCCCCGACACAAATCCCCCACCCCACAGCCATCAAGGTGTGTGTCAGTGTTGATGACTGAAAACAGCACCAGATAACAGCACCACAAAATAAACAGATCAAGAGAGGGCATTTTTATTCATTTAACATTATGCATTTTGCTCTGATCAAAGGGAGGGATTGTGACTCCACTGGAAACCTGCAGTGAAAATAAAATCATAATTTTTGCTAACATTGCTCATACTCACCCAGTATCTTCTAAATAAATTCTCGTAATAGTCCAGACAATTGCAACGATTGTTGGGATTCCTGTAGGAAATGATAGCAGGTTAATTCAAATTGCAATGAAGTTAGCTGGATTTCATCTGGAATCTGTTAAAGACGTTTCTCCATCATCAAAAAAAAGGCTTACCCCAGCCAATCAGCATGTAGAGGACAAAGTATTTATTTTCAGAGAAAAAGACCACAAGGAGGGTGTGCAGGTACAAACCTTCCACCAACAGCCAATAGAAGTTTGCAGTGATGAAATACTGGAAGAAGACCAAAATCGTTTTACAGGCAATCTAGAAAGAAACAATGAGAGGAACAGAGTTCAACTGTGATCAAAAGAAGAGGCTGTGTAAACAGGTTGGCTAACAATAACATGGGAAATGCAGGACAGAACATATTTTCTGACATTATTTCCATCACTAAGGATAATGAACCTTATCTGCAGGAAAACTGCCAACTCCAAACGTTCATCTCAGCAGAAGGCAAACTTATAGGAAGACCTACAACCATCTCTCAACTCCTTTACATGAAGTTAAGAAATCTAACTACTGACTAGTTCCCCTGTTCATCAATTAAGCCATGTTGATGGAATTTAAAGAGCCAAAACATCAGTGTTTTTAGGAACATGTCATGACAAACATGTCCATCATATTTAATATGTTGCAACCCAACCTGTTAGATGGATCCTTGATGTTCTCACTTCACCACATAAATAATTTATCTGGATTGTAAATAATATCAATTTTCTTTATTATCTTGAACTCATCAATTTGCGTCACTGTGATGTATACATTTCAAATATAAGCTTGACCTCTTCCAACTTTTCTCATGATCAAGATTCTTAATACGGTATTTGGAAACTGTTTTGTTGCTTATATCTGTACCACATCAAAGATGATAATATTTTTGAGTTGGGATACTATAGATCACAAACAACAACTTTCAGTTATATAATACCTTTAAGTTAGGTACTACCTCAAGGCATTCACAGGGGTATAACGAACAAAAATTGACACTACATCGCAACAGGAGATCTTAGGATATGGGACTATGATTGGCAAGCTTAGAGATCTCAGAGGGTTGTAGGATGAGATGAAACTACAGAAGTAGAGAAAGGAAGAGACCGCGGAGGAATCAGAAAACAAGGGTGAGAATTTTAAAACCAAGATATTCACAGACTGGGAACTATCAGTGAGCATACCAGTGGAATAGTATGAAATAAGACATGGAAACTGGGTTTGGATGGAAAATGGGAGGCCATCCATGGGAATGTTGGAAAAGTGAAGTTTAGAGATAACAAAGGGCATGGTAAAGATATGAATTGTGGGTATTCATTGACATTTTAATGTAAGGTTGAGGTGATTCCTGGCACTTCCCTGTGAAAGAATTTTGATAATTGCAACAGCAGAAAGTGGGATAATTAATTTTCCAGTAACATAACCCGGGGCAACTTCTTCCTGTTTAATTACGGTAATTTAGTAATAGTGTAAGGGACAAAATACACATGCTGGTCTGGTGAGAGAAAGTCTGTTCCTTTGAGACTCAGTGACCGGGGAGTGGGGAGGGGTCATCGTTCACTTACAGTTTCCTCTAGAAGAATGAATACATGAGTGAGGAGAGGTTTCTTACACTGAGCCTAGTTGGAGCATGACATTGAGGCAGGAACCACTACCTCCTCGAAGGGAACCTTGGTGAACTATGAAGCAGTGGGGACTATGGAGAGAGAGTAACACAGCAGGAATTCGTTTGGATTTTTTTTTGCAAAGGGAAACCACAGTCACCATTAACCAAATGGCCTTTTTCTTAACATTAACTCACTTTGGTTTTAATCCCTGCAGACGGTGAAAATACAGTTTAAAACATATATAAAAGGAACAAACTGATATAATTTCACAAACAAGTACAGAGAATGCTGGAGAAACTCAGCAGGTCTGGCACTATCTGTTGAAAGAGAAACAAAATTAATCTTTTGAGTATGGTATTGCTTTAAAACTGAAAGGTGTTGGAAAATATTTTTTAATATACTTGGGGCCCCCATTCTCTCCCCTTCACAAGATAATTTACACCTATTTTACATCACTTTTCTCTTTCTCCATCATTACCAACCCCTTTGTCTTCTGCACTGGGCCACTGTCTCGGTCTAGAGCATAAAAAGAAAACTTTTCAATACCTTTCAGTTCTGAACAAGTCATACCAGACTTGAAACATTAACTCTGTTTTTCTCTCCACAGATGCTGCCAGACCTGCTGATCTCTGTCTTTGTTTCAGATTTCACTTACAGGGGCGGCACGGTGGTTAGCACTGCTGCCTCACAGCGCAAGGGACCTGGGTCCAATTCCACCCTCAGGCAACTGTCTGTGTGGAGTTTGCACATTCTCCCCTTTTCTGCGTGGGTTTCCTCTGGGTGGTCTAGTTTCCTCCCACTGTCCAAAGATGTGCAGGTTGGGTGGATTGGCCATGCTAAATTGCCTGTAGTGTTCAGGGATTTGTACATGAGTTGGGTTATAGGGGGATGGGTTTGTGTGGGATCCTGTGAGGGTCAGTGTGGGCTTGTTGGGCTGAAGGGCCTGTTTCCACACCATAGGGATTCTATGATTTCCAGCATCCAAGGTATTTTGCTTTTATTCATGCTAACAAACCATCTGCTATACAGAGGTTAACACAGGCGTGCACTTAGCAACTATTCACTTTAAGTTATTTAAAGATGAAGCGGTAACCTCGAGGGCAATCAGTCTCATTAATGTGAAGCATACACTGTTCCACTTAAACAATAATTAATCACAAAAACATCACACAAAACTGTTTATACATTTCCTTATGAACTTTGTACTTGAGTGCAGTGACTTTTTAATTTTCATTCAGTAAGGTTAGTGCTCAATTTGGCTTTGAATTGAATATTGCATAAAACCCAGTTCAAACGCATGGTGCATATCTTAATCCCCATGCAGTTTGTGCCCATTAGAGGACGAGGGACTAGAAAGTAAGAATTCGTTTGGAATTCTAAGCCCAGTGTAATTAAATGACATTAACTCAGGCTGTGACTCTATAAACACAAATAAGAAACAGGACGAGAGGATGTTGTGTAATGGAATATGACATTCCTGGTTAAGCGGTTTGTACGTGACATTTGCTTGCTAGCAAAAGTATACCCAAAAGATTTTAAGTATAAGTAAACTTCTCTCTTCAACTTTCTAAAACTGAGTCTAATATGCTCAGTTATATTAGACAGTGTAGATGTACCACCCACGTTGTTCGGCACTGTCTCATTTACATTAAACAGCACGTGTACATTTAATTGCATTGTTGGAACCTGGATTTTTCTGGCTCCTCTTGATCACAGTTTGACTTACTGGGCTTCTTTCTAACCCTGTTTCTTTTTAACTCTCCCAGGGCCCTCCAAGGGAATTGTTTTCGATCTTTTATTACCATCAGTGCAAATGATCATGACTTTGTCATAACCTTTCATAAAACACTCTCCCACATGCTTACCTTTAATTAAAAACCTCTTGTTTCTCACAACTAGGCATCATCATTAGTACCTTTGCTTTTTCTGATATATATTAATCATCTAAATCTCATACACAGGGCACAATTTCAAAGTTTGCAGATGATACGAAACTGGGAAGCATGACGAACCATGAGGAGGGTAGTTTAGAACTTTAAAAGTATATAGACAAGTTGGTGAAATGGGTGGACAAGTTCAATGGAGAGAAATGATATTTTAGGAGGAAGATGTTGTGAAACTTGAAAGGGTTCAGAAAAGATTTACACGGTTGGAGGGTTTGAGCTATCGGGAGAGGCTGAATAGGCTGGGGGCTATTTTCCCTGGAGCATCAGAGGCTAAGAGGTGACCTTATAGAGGTTTCTAAAATTATAAGGGCCATGGATAGGGTGAATAGCTAAGGTCTTTTTCCCAGGGTATGGGAGTCCAAAACTAGAAAGCATAGGTTTAAGGTGTGAGGGGCAAAATTTAAAAGGGAGCTAAGGTGCAACTTTTTCACGCAGAAGGTGGTGCATGTATGAAATGAACTGCCAGAGGAGATGGTGGAGGCTGGTACAATGACAACATTTAAAAGGCATCTGGATGGGTACATGAATAGGAAGGGTTTAGAAGGATATGAGCTAAATACTGGAAAATGGGACTAGATTAATTTAAGATATCTGGTTGGCATGGGCAAGTTGGACCGACGAGTCTGTTTCTGTGCTGTACATCTCTATAACATGGAGAAACAATACAAAATAAAAGATAATATTCTCATCAGCATTCAGCAGCGGAAGACACTGGGCCTATATGTGCATAAGATATTGAAGGTTGCCTTGCAGCTTGAGAGTTTTCATTAAGAATGTGTGTGGTATCCTTGGTATATTAATAGGAGCATAGAATACTAGAACAAGGAGGTCATATTGAACTTATATAAGACACTAGTTTGGCCTCAGGTGGGATATTATGTGCAGCTCTGGGCACCACATTTTAGGTGCACATGACAGAGTGCAAAAAGACTCAGGGGAATTACACAAGGGATGAGGAACATCAGTAGCAAAGATAAATTGGAAAAGCTTGGACTTTTCTCCCTGCTGAATAAAAAAGCTGGGAGAGATCTGTTAGGGCTGTTCACGATCACGAGTGGTTTGGACAGAGTAGATGAGGAAAAAACTGCTCTGACTCATGAGAAAATCAAGAATGAGTGGGCCCAGATTTGAAGTAATTGGCACAAGTGAGATGAGAGAAAACTTCTTCACATTAGCAGCTGACTGAAATCTGGAATGCAGACTCTGGTGGAAGCAAGTTCAATTAAAGTCTTTCAAAGGGATTTAGACTGTTATATGAAAGGGAACATGTGCAGGGTCACAGGGAGAATGACACTAAGTGAACTGCCCGTTCACAGTGTTGGCGTAGACTTCATTGCTTTTACAATCTGCTCTGTATAATAAAGTGACAGTTTTCATTGGGTGTGGCCTCAGCCTTCTGCCTTCTAGATGAGATGATAAACCATGGGTGCCTGTTCTGTTGATCTTCTAAAATGAGTTGCTGCTAGTTCCCCAGTACTTCTCCTTCAACCTACACCACCACAAAAACTGAAACGTCAGCTTTCCTGCTCCTCTGATGCTGCTTGGCCTGCTGTGTTCATCCAGCTCTACACCTTGTTATCTCTAACTGTTTAACCATGCCATTGCTGTTCATGATATCTTGCTGTGTGCAGGTTTAGGGCTGCATTTGCCAGGAGCAGAGGTTCTTGAATGATTCCCGGGACGGCAGGACTGGCATATGATGAAAGACTGGATCAACTGGGCTTGTTTTAGCTAATGTTTAGAAGAATGAGGGGAGATCTCGTAGAAACATAAAATCCTGATGGGACTGGACAGGCTAGATGCGGAAAGAATGTTCTCAATGTTGCATTTTATTAAATATATTAAAGAGGGTTCTGGATGTGGCTTTTGTGGCTGAAGGGATCAAGTGGTATGGAGAGAAAGCGGGAATGGGATACTGGGGTTGCATGATCAGCTGTGATCATATTAAATGGTGGTACAGGCTCGAAGGGCTGAATGGCCTACTCCTGCACCTATTTTCTATGTTTCTATGAATGATACTGATTGAGCATGTGCATAAGGAGCAATGTCACAGTGACATCAGATCACATGGAACTGGATCCCGAGTGTGTACGTTTCCAGAGATGTTCAATGAACTTTTTTTTTCTTTATTCATTCACGGGACGAAGGCGTCGCTGACCAGGCAGTATTTATTGCCCATCCCTAATTGCTCAGAGGGCAGTTAAGAGTCACCACATTGCTGTGGGTCTGGAGTCACAGGTAGGCCAGACCAAGTAAGGATGGCAGTTTCCTCTCTTAAGGGACATTAGTGAACCAGATGGGTTTTTCCTGACAATCGACAATGGATTCATGGTCATCATTAGATCCTTAATTTCAGTTATTTATTGAATTCAAATTCCACCATCCACCATTCGAAGCCAGGTCCCCAGAACATTATCTGGGTCTCTGGATTAACAGTCCAGCATTAAAACCATTAGGCCATTGCCTCCCCTTGGTGCATCATTGAAGTTCGTAAAGGTTGTTGGTTTTCACTGACATGGGTGTGAACTGCACATATCAACAGCTCAGGTCATAAGCTGCTAAGTGATGACTGGACCCACAGAATCGGCGACAAGTGAGCTCCTAAAGTGAAACCCCACCCCCAGCAGCACTGCAATGTGACCGGCTCAACAACACAATTGTAGAAGATGGGAAAAAGACCAAAGACAAGCCCAGCACCAACAGAGAGCAACAGACAAAGGAACTCAAAGACCAGTGCAGCAACAAAGCACAGAGCCCCATCTGACACTGACGAAACACAGCAAGCGGCCACAGTAGGGAACGTGGGAAGGTGAATGGATCAGTTGACTACAGTAAGAGATCACTGCAGATTACAGGCCCTTACAGAGAGGAGGAAATAAAATTGCTAAGATGCCATAACTCACTAAAAAACAAAAATAGCCTCCGATGGAACAGTCCTTGGCTTTACTGCAGCCTCTGGACTAGATGATGGTCTCACTATTTAAGATGTAAATGCATTGGATGCAGTTCAGAGAAGGTTTAGTAGACTGAACCCTGGAATGGATGGGTTCTCTTGTGAGGAAGGTTTGGACAGACTAGTTTAGAAGAACAGGAGGCAACTTGATTGAAGCATATAAAATCCTGAGGCCTTGACAGGGTGGATGTGGAAAGGATGCTCTTGTGGGACAACCTAGAGCTGTATAAAAATAAGAGGACTCCTACTTAATACTGAGATGAGGAGGATATTCTTTCTCATTGAAATTCATGGGCTTTTGGAACTGTTTTCCTGAAAAGATGGTGAAAGCATTTTTAAGCCACAGGCAGTTAAAAATTCTTGATAAGGAAGGGGGAAAAAGGTTACTGAGACGAGGCAGGAATTTAGATTACTCAGATCAGAAATGATCTTATTGAACATGCAACAGATCAAGGGTGGAATGGCCTACTCTTGCTACTAATCTATATGATCATACATGTTCACTCATTGTTTCTAATTTTTCAAAATTCCCTAGACTTGGGAAGATTCCACTAGATTGGAACCAAGCAGTTGCAACTCCTTTGTTCAAAAAGAAACAGGAGGCAGGAAACTATAGGCCTTATAGGTTAATATCTGTTATCAGCGTGACAATGAAGTTATTATTAGAGATATTATAGCAGGGTGGTTAGAAAAATGTAAGGTAATCAGATAGAGTCAACATAGTTTTTATGAACAAGAAATTGTATTTAATCAATTTATTGGAGTTTTTTGAGGAAATAAAAGTACTGCGGATACAGGAGAATAATGGATGTACTATACTTGGAGGATAGGAACTTCTGATAGATCCTGGTTCAGAAGTTGGTTCTGTTGCAGATGATAGTGTGCTCCCACTTCCTGAAGAAGCTCCTGAGATGTGATTACCTTCAACAAAGCAATCTCATGCTGAGCCGGGTGTGGAAATGATACCATAGCTCACACAATGAGAAATTCCTGCCTGAGGGAAAAAGTAAAGTCTTCATTTCCTTGCCTCCAGAACCTGCTTCAGTGTGCTCTTTACATTTCCTTTAATCTACTAGATTCATCCTTGGATAAAAGTCCAGTGAATAAGGAGCTGAGAGGCTGAATTTCAGTTCCCTGTCTTCCTTTGTGAGGGATTGTGGTAGTTCGAGTCCTAGGGAGTTCTTTCTTGAGTCAATGCTTCCTTGATTACTTGTCGTAAGTGTCACAGTCCAGGAACCAGCTATTGTCAGAATTTGCCATCCCACTCCACCGATATGCTCACCTCCCGCAGAAACAATGAGGCAGCACACATCTCCTTTACATCCTCCAAGAGAACCAGGAATACTTTTGGAAATTGATGCCTTAGACAGAAAAGATTTGAGGGGAATGATGGGTGGGGTGGACGTACGAGCGGGTGAAAACTGGAAACATTTAACGAGGTTAATAGTTTGTGGGAAGAGTGAACTTGGGGTAAAGTTGTGGATTAAAGGCTTAGCCATTCTTTTACTCTAGTAATAGCTGCTGAGTATTTCCATAAGACCTGCGTAAGCTGTGACAGCAGATCATAAGGCACTGGAACCCCAGAGTTTAACGTTCCAGAGATATTCTGTCTCTTACTATCTCTTGTATGTAGTTACTGTGATTAAAGTTTGTTGGTGTTCACTGAAGTGGGTGTGCACTGCCTTCTATCAATAATCTAAACTGTGATACCCATAGACTTCAGAACTTTAATAACTTCATGGATTGAAAGAATAAACAAGGATAATCTGTTACACATTGGAAAGAAGCAGCAATAACTCTTTCTGGAATAAACTGTTTCTCAAGATGAAAGGGACATGCAGAAACTGTGATAAAGGAATTGAAAGCAACATGCCCATTAGTTATCCCCGGGAAGAAGGAGTTGAAGCAACGTGAACAAGCTGTTTCCTGGGAGACAGGAGATGACACTGCTTGATAACCTGATGCCTCCTGACAATTAGGCAATTAAGACCTGTCTACAGAACAAATGTCCTGGAGTAAAGAGGTAGGACTGGCTGTTTCAAACAGACAACTAACCCCAAGGTAACAAGGAACAGGGGAATTACTTCTGATAAGAAGGCAAGCTACAGACTTGAGGACTCCAGGAGTGTAATGAGTGTTGGGGATGAAAGAATGTAAAAGTTCTTCAATAATGCCACACCACAAACTTGTTAGACAGAAAATTGTATAAGAATCCAACTCCAAAACAATTCAGCAGTAGAACTTCGAAGAAGATCATTGCACAGGGATTGAACCCTGGACACTTCTAGAAACAGACACTGTTGGTTGGAATTGTGGCTAAATTCCACCATTAATTGGATAATAGCCAAGTTGAGTTGTGGGGCTTAACTTGCTTACTTGATGGAGTCTTATTTTGGTTGCTACATGCAATAAAGTTTAAATCATTGTTTCAGTATTTGATGGGCTGTGAGATTTCATAATAAGTAGCCAAATTAAAGGTAACTTGCAGTTATTTACCCATAACACCACAGATTGAACTAGCCAAGGATGGCAGCCTTGAACACAACATCACTGACCCAATGGGTTATCGTTTTGGATGTCTGAGACACCACAGTTTCCTGAACGTTCAAGATGATTTAAAGAAAATGCTTGATTTTATCTGAAAATGCTCTCAAGGCAATTTTAGAAACTTATCATGGGTGAACCAGGCACTTACCTGGTCAGATTTGGGTCGTCTGTCCAATTAAACCCCAAGCAATGCAGAAATCCAAGCTATCACAGACCATCGGCTCTCTACCACCAGGGGTCACTGCTGCTATTACAGCAGCACTACTGCCAGGAATCATGTATGGATCCCCGGGGAGGGGTCAATGTGAAGAAGGGGACGGTCTTTGGGGTGAGGTTGCCAGTGAGGTTGGTTAGTAGGGTAACAGGTCAGAAACAAAGGGTCCCCCTTACTGATGTCGGGTCTCTCGATCTGGATAAGAGTGATTGTGAACAAGGGTCTCCCTCATCCCACCACCATCACAGTAGGCTGCAGGCACCTCTGACAGAGCTTCTGCTGCAACATAATCAGATGGAGTCATGATGGGCAGCATCTCCATGGGTCACCCAGCAAGGCCCTCTGCACTTCCAAACCTGCCCGCAAGAGGGTATAAATTCCACTGTGGTCGTGACACATAGGCTCCAACTTAGTGCTGCAGCCTTATTTCTCAGTATAGGTCATGTTTACACTGGGTCTTCTCATTTTAAATTAAGATGGATATGCTGAAGTGCTTTATCAATACAAATTGTATTAACAGCAATAATTCTCCAATCATTCTATTTGTTCGTAATCTGTGGGCTTTTTTACTTCATTGCGCTAGGAAGAACGTAACAGTGACTCACCAGTGCTGCTTCATTACACTGACCAGAACTTTGATGTTCTGAATACAGAATGTCATCCTTCAGTAAAACAGATATTGCACGCAAAATGAAAGAGAAAAACAGGTTCAGGTGGATGTAGTTACGTGTGCAATGAAGTTTTCTGTGTGTAGGAAAAAATAAGAGCAGAGAAATTAGTCCATCTGAATAATATTATTTTTACCTAGCTTTTTCCATCAATAATTTTATGTTGATTACTGTCAGTGCTAAAGTTAGTTCTATTAAAGCTGCTTTTGTTCTTTAAAACGTTATAAAAACTGAACTGTCATCTTTTGTATTTTTTGATGAACTCGTGCCCATAATAAGAATTCTTCTTGCTTTGTGTTAATTTTAACTTGGTCATTAAGCAACAACATTGCTTCAGTAACTTTTCCAATCAAATCATGCAAAATGACCCTGACTTCAGGATTTGCC